CACGCAGCTTGCTTATCCCTCTCTTAGGCTGTTATTCAGTAGGAGCCTTCTTCCCATCACCGGAAAAGAGATATAAAAATAAACAACTTAAAGAAAGTATGAAGACTGAAAGAAATGTGCAGAGATAATGACAGAATGTGGAAGCAGTACATCTGGTGTGTTGGAGAGTGAAAAACCACAGGAATGAGCTCTATACAGAAGTGGAATGTGGCATCAGAGAAGCTTGAGATGCAGCTGTGGAGATGGCAGGTGGCTGACACTAACTCTCTGTGTGACCTTGGGCTAGCCACTAAGTTTACCTAGTGCTAAGTTTCTTGTTTCATGTCTAAAACAAAGAGTTTAGTACCCTCAAAAGGTATTTCCAGAGGAAGGTACAGAGGAAAAGGGCAGAAAATTCAAGACATGTCCAAGCAACAGAAGAAAGGCAAAAATGAGACCAAATTAAAGATAGAATGGGAAAGTCGATTAAAAGCCTGGACTTCATTCTGTAAGCGACTAGGCATCATCAAAAATCCATCCTACAAATAAAAGTATTAATCATTTGGTCTTCTCCTTTAGACAGGCATATCACACACTCACACAGAAAAAACGGGACAATTTTCGTAGAATAAGTACATTATTCTCTCCCAAGCTTCTGTAAAGACTAAACAAACTTAAGATATTTGGAGCTGACCCTCTTTAAAGGAAAAAGAGACCAAAATTCTCCACTTGCAGTACTAGCTGTAGGTTAGGTCTAGAATATATATATGTATATATAAAATATGTTGTATATATTATATATAGTCTATATATGTATAAAGTTATATATATGAAACTTTAATTATATAATTATTATATTGTTATAATGATAAAGTATATAATATATACAGGTATCTATATCTATCTCTCTATATATAAATCATTACATATAACATAAGCTAATATGGAAATGAGGGGGATATGACCTCTAGCCTCCATTTGATGGTACTCAGTTTAGTTCATTTCAGGACAAAATTGGAGGCAGAGATTTAGGGCAAGAGAAAAACAATTGATAATCAATTCTTGCAGCTCACTAGTTTTACTTATGCTAATAAGTAGTACAGTGATTGTAGCATAGATAGATGAATTGCTGAGGAAAATGCAGACAAATCATTCAGTGGAATCTTAGTTCAATATCCCAGGAAGGTAAATTGTTTGTCTAAACTCATAGTTTCCTTTGGATTGTTGGATTCAGGGTGATTTTTAACTTGTTATTTCTGTACTTAAAAACACCATGTAGTTCTCCATGAATTTGGAACTTATATATAAAGAAGAAAAGAACTTGTCTGTTTGTATTTTCAAACTTGACATTTTGCTTTTCAAATTAATTTTTACACATACTGCCTTGGTTCTCATTTTGGGTCAGCTGTATTTTATTGGATTGATGAAGAAAGATGGAGAGTGACAGACAGACACATGGGCAAACAGTTGGAGTTAGGAAATAAGCAGTGGGGTGAATAATCCCCAAACATAGGGTAATTGCAAGGAAAATTTCATTTGGCTCTTGAATACACACAATGAGTTGTAGAGAATAGATTTACTTCTCTAATTACTCTATGTTGTACTTGCGCCAATGCTGAAATGATTTCACATTCCCTGGGCATATACCAACTGTTGGGGTGAGGAGGGGCCCATAAACATACTGGATACAGAGGGAAAAACATTTTTTTGCATACCACACACAATGCAAAATGCTATTCTTAGAGCGTTGTCTGTATTGTTACAAAACTAGTTGATTTCTTTAATTTAGATGAAGGATTGCACAAAGTTCTTGAAAAACAAAAACATAAATCAAGTTGATTTATTTATTCTGATTTGATCACCCAAACAGCTAACTTCAAGCCACATATAGACGCACATATAGTCAGAGTGAAATATATGGCCATGTGGCTTATAAACATTGATCACCTTTCCTAGTTTATATATAAAAAATTGAAATTGAGTTATATTTAATATACAAATACCATATTTATAATAACTCTATAAGAATAATATAAACTTAGAAAGAAGATATACTTCTGAAGGTCAATTCTAAAAAGAAGTGCAGACAAAGAAGGCAAGGAACAAAAGAAAATATATATATTAGGCTAGAGTTTTTCCACCCTTTACTTTGCAATGAATATGGTGGTTATCTAGAGACACTTCACCATTATTTAACCCATATTTAACAGAACGATATAGGCATTGCTATTTTTCCATTGAGAAAGTTGAGGCTTGCAGAGTTTGATGAGGTTATCGTAAACATGATAGAGATTTAGTAAGTAAAATAGTTCAAATTTGGACCCAGATAAATCTGTTTTCAAAACTTGCTTCTGCTATTCCTGCCCTTTCCCCCATTCCTGCCCTTTCCCCCATTCCTGCCCTTTCCCCTATTCCTGCCCTTTCCCCTATTCCTGCCCTTTCCCCAGTTCCTGCCCTTTCCCCTATTCCTGCCCTTTCCCCCATTCCTGCCCTTTCCCCTATTCCTGCCCTTTCCCCTATTCCTGCCCCACCTCCCCGCCTCTGCTGTTCTCCTGGGCCTTGTCAATGGTTGGCGACAATGACTCACTGGAATGACCTGCTGACTGGGGCCTCCACTGGAATCACGCCGTGCAGAAGGCACTTGCTGGGCGGGGCAAGGTGGCTCACGCCTGTAATCCCAGCACTTTGGGAGGCCGAGGTAGGTGGATCACTGGAGGCCAGGAGTTTGAGACCAGCTTGGCCAACATGGCAAATCACCGTCTATACTAAAAATACAAAAATTAGCCAGGCGTGGTGATCCATGCCTGTAGTCCCAGCTACTTGGTAGGTTGAGGTGGGTGAATCGCTTGAACCCGAAAGGCAGAGGTTGCAGTCAGTTGAGGGCACACAGCTGTACTCCAACCTGAATGACAGAGGGAGCCCCTGTCTAAAAAAAAAAAAAAAAAAAGAAAGAAGCAATTGTTGCTACAACTGTTTTTTCACATCAAACTTCTGGACAAATAATATGAGAGGCACCTTTAAGAAAAAAATAATAATAAATGAAGAAGAGAATTCAATGTTTTCTATAGTATGCTGGGAACTCACTCTAAGAGACAGTCCAGTCCAGATATGAAAGGTTACATTCTGAAGCCTGATGCTAAAAATCAGAAAGGCCCTTCTTAAAATTCAATAGCGCTTTTTAAATGTTTTAAAATGTTTGGTTTGTTTTGTTTTGTCAATATGTGGACTACTACCATCCTATAATGTAGAGGTTTCTTGAGATTATTTGATTTATGTGAATTTTGCATTTAAAACACAGAGACTGATGAGAATTAGAGGCTCCAAGGTCCCACAGTGGAATAGACCAGGACTAAAATATTGGTCACATTATTGATTTGGACCTGAGTTTCTTACAGAGGAAAATGAGAAGTTGGACTAGATAACTGGTAAGATCCTTTCCAGCTGTAAAATCCAGTGACTGTAAGCACTCTGATTCTCAGCCCACTAATCTGTGTGCTCTTTATAGGATGCTATACTACTTATCATCACAGTTCTAGAAAGTTTTTTTTTTTTTTTTGAGATGGAGTCTAGGTTTGTCACCCAGGCTGGAGTGCAGTAGCAAATCTTGGCTCACTGCAACCTCCACCTCCAAAGTTTAAGTGACTCTCCTGCCTCAGCCTCTCAAGTAGCTGGGATTACAGGTGCCCACCACCACACCTGGCTAATTTTTGTACTTTTAGTAGAGGCAGGGATTTCACCATGTTGGCCAGGCTGGTCTCAAACTCCTGACCTCAGGTGATCCACCCGCCTCGGCCTCCAAAAGCGCTGGGATTACAGGCGCGAGCCACTGCGCCTGGCCTAGAAATCCTTCTCATGTGCTGAGGCCCAATGATGCAGCTCTTTGAGGGTTAATCGGAACGTGTAATAGAGAAAGGGAAGAAGGGAAGCAGCCACTCCCAGGTTTGGTGGAATCCACTGACACGGAGAGGGACTAAAGAGGTATTTATATTGGGATTATAAGATAATAAGGGGTCCCTATTTGAATGAGTCCTTGGGTGCTCTGAGTCTGCTCTTAGGCTTTTGGGCTGACCTACTTAATTTGTAAAATATTCGTTTCTTGATTTCCCCGCTCCATTCCAGTTGCATTGATCTTGTCAAGGGTATCAATGCATCTGAGCACTGGGAAAAGGAAAAGACTGACTCAGATCAAAGGTACTTAAACCTTAAGCCAGAAACTTTAAGAAAAAAAAAAAGGAGCATTAAATGGAAATACATACTTTGCAATTCACTTCCTTTCCCCTCTCTATTTCTATTTTTGTCTTACATCTCTTCTAGCAAAAGGATGAGCTTCATGTCTATCATTTTGGCAGTTTCCAATGTCTTAGTATGCAAATCCCCTGGTACACAAAAGTGAGAAGGGTAAAATCTGGGACATTGTAGTATAGGCCACAATGCTAGCTATTTTCTTAGAGATGTCAAGCTAGTTTATTAAAGTTATCCCCTGACTGTTGTGTATTTACCCACCTTTAACCCTCTACCTTGCTTTGCTAGGTAATTGCAGACAGAGGGTTTGGGAAGGTTTAACCATGTACATTTTAATTAATTTCTGAAATCATCAGTACATTTTTTATACCTGTGCAAATGTCTTAATTGATATCAAGAGTCAGCAAACCCTTTTGTAAATATTTTCAGCTTGCAATTCATATTGTCCCTGTTATAACTACTCGACTCTGCTCATGTAGTAGGAACACACATAAACAAATGGATGGCTATGCTCCAATAAAACTTTGTTCACAGAAATGTTGAACTTCTGACCATACATTTGTGCCACAGTATTAAACTATCATTATACGTTAAATATCACTGGATATGTAATAAGGTGTTGGAAACTATTCCTTCTGTCTGGATTCCTCATTCTTCGCCTTGCAGTGAAATCTTACTCAACTTTCTGAGTCCAGATCAAATATCACATCCTCTGGGAAGTTTTTCCAACCTCTTCTTCTCGTGGTCACCCCTGGCTCACCAAGGAGTTAGTTTTTTTGTTTTTTTTTTTTTTTTACCAGGTGAACCAAAGACTTTATTTTTCAAAAGCAGGTAACACCAAAGTACTACGTGGTATCCATATTCATTGCAAAAATGGTAATTACTGGAATTTTCCAAACGTCAAATGTCATAAGGGGGATCAACAGTTACCACGATCATTTTCAACCAATATACAGATGTTTGCTCAAGGTCTAGGCTTTATTTCTACATAGTAGTATTCACATGAGTTCCCTAGGCTGAATTATTGTCAAAACAAGGACTCTTGAAGGCCGAGCCCAGCCTAGTCTTGACTTCAAAGATGACACAGCAGCCAACCTAGAATCCTGGCTTGCTGCTTGAGTCCTGGAAGTCATGTCTTCTGATGTTTTACAACAAGCCGTGTCTCTGAAAACTAAAAGCAGACTTCAGATTCCTCTGAAACAGCTCTGGTTCCCAAGTGTTCCGCACCGTGGTACCCAGAGATGCTCAAAATGTGCTTTCCCTTGTCGTTCAAAACCCACCACCAGGAACCCAAGAGGGACCCCACTTGGAGAGTTCCAAGATGAAGGTGTTTAAGAACCACGTTAACCCCAAGTAAAGGCAGCGGATGAAATTATCCATTTCTTTTCCTTATTTTTTTTTTAAGTGAGACTACCTTGGCAAATGGGAAAATGACACCAATCATATGATTAGAGAAAATTGTTTTATAAATCCTCCTCTTGAAATTATGTTCAGGCCCCACACGGTAGCTTATGCCTGCAATCCCGCACTTCGGGAGGCCAAGGCAGAAGGATCACTTGCGCCCAGGAGTTCGAGACCAGCCTGGGCAACACAGTAAGACCCCGTCTCTGTTTTTGTTTGTTTGTTTGTTTGTTTAAAGAAAGAAATTCTGTTAAAAAGTATTTCAGACCAAAAGGAGGTCATAAAAACTGTTCATATAATTACCTATGAGAAAAAATTCCCTGTATGGAAAGGGGCACTGAAGATCTGGCACAGAGAAACAAGGGGAGACAGCGCAGTGATAAAATCCAGCCCTGGTTTTCTAGCATGCATTTATGACCTCATGGGTATGTCTGTACTGGGTGTTAATAGCCCCTCTTTGTACTTAAAAATAAATTAGGAAATTAAAGTGAATCTGTGTGCTAATGAAGTCTGAAGTTACAGAATCTAAAAGCCAAGCTGTAAAGTCTGTAAGGCAAGATCTTTATCATCAGGGATGGGAAGAGATGGATAAGATAATGGTAGGCACTAAAGGTTGGTTCAGCTGAGCTCCGGGCAGAACAGCCTCAAAAATAAGGCAACTGTGGCTTCTCAGTTTGAGGCTGCCACCAGAAAGGCCCACGGAGGCAGAAAAAAAGAGCCACTGATGGCAGATCACTGGAAGATACTCGGAGAGGGCAATGATCACAGTTAGATGGGAGGACTGAGGGTCACAGGGAGGCAGGAAACCGTTGAACTGACACTCAAGGGGAATGTCTTTGCAAGTCCTAGGCACGACTCCAAGCAGCAGTTGCCGGGGTTTGGAGGTTTGTTAGTTTTGCGACATTTCCCCCCAAAAGAAGACATGAAGGTGGGCCCCCTGGAGAGGTGAGACCACCAGGGCAGAACCTCCACCAGGTGTGAAGCTTGATGAGAGGTGGAAAGGGCTTCCTGCGGCACCCGGCTCCCTCCACGTCTGGGTGAGTCCTACAAACGCTTGTAGGTGCCCACCAGAGCTCTGCAGCTGGGACAGTAACGGTCCACGTCCTGCAGGGCGTCCACGCAGAAGGGGATGAAGCAGCAGGCCCACCACGCACCCCAGCAGGCACGGGCTCCCGCGGGACAGCCAGGTCAGAGCACCGGCGTTGCAGGACAGCTGACTCACGCTCATCTTGTTGCAGGAAGGACAACGCATTTGGACAGGACGGTCCAAAAAGGGGATGGGGTGCTGCACACAGACCGTCTGCACGGTCATTGGATTGTTACTGGGGGTGGGCGCTGGCTGGCAAAATACGAAGCAGGATTCATGCCCTTCCCTCCAGGCCCTGTCATCAGACCTGTAGTTGGCCGAGGCATGGGAGCCGGAGGCGTGGGGTAATGACCGTTAACAGCACCGTCTCTTCACACCCGGGCGTGGGAGCTGAGGCGTGGGGTAATGACCGTTAACAGCACCGTCTCTTCACACCCGGGGGTGGGACCTGCGTGGGGTAATGACCGTTAACAGCACCGTCTCTTCACACCCGGGCGTGGGAGCTGAGGCGTGGGGTAATGACCGTTAACAGCACCGTCTCTTCACACCCGGGGGTGGGAGCTGCGTGAGGTAATGACCGGTAACAGCACCGTCTCTTCACACCCGGGCGTGGGAGCTGAGGCGTGAGGTAATAACCGTTAACAGCACCGTCTCTTCACACCCGGGCGTGGGAGCTGAGGCGTGGGGTAATGACCGGTAACAGCACCGTCTCTTCACACCCGGGCGTGGGACCTGCGTGAGGTAATAACCGTTAACAGCACCGTCTCTTCACACCCGGGCGTGGGAGCTGCGTGGGGTAATGACCGGTAACAGCACCGTCTCTTCACACCCGGGCGTGGGAGCTGAGGCGTGGGGTAATGACCGGTAACAGCACCGTCTCTTCACACCCGGGCATGAGAGCTGTGTGAGGTAATAACCGTTAACAGCACCGTCTCTTCATAGGATGGCGGTGCAGACGGCGCTGAGGAAGGCCCCGTGGCCGCCTGGCGAGGTCCTGGAACCGCCAGTTCACCGCCGCCCGCGCCGCCTGTCGAGCCGGGAGGTCACAGTTAGTTTTATTCCCTCGGGCGTATTACTTCTTAAATAGATTTTCTATTGTGTATTATGATGAGTTTGTACGTCTTTCTCCTCCAAAAAAAACTGTAGGTTTTTGAGAGAAGGATAATCTGTTACTCATCTTTGATCCCCATGGCCAAAGACTGACTGTAGCTTGTAATTAAATATGTAAGAAGTGATTGTTCGACACTATGCATCAGGAAATTTAAGTTCATTGTTTTTCTGCTTTATCAGAGAATCGGATCTTTTTAAATTCAAAGAGAACATGATGACATAAATAAAATGTGCTGCTTTATTTATTTTTAAAATAACACAAATAAAGATGTGAACTACGGCCGTAGCTATATATTTGTTTTTTGTAATACATAGGAAATTTAAAGAGGTAAAACCACCACATGAGCTGAGATAAAATACTACATTACCCAACTCGCCTTGCAGCTCGGTACTACACTGTGATTCCTTCCTGGCCAATAAGAAGTGAGTGAAAAATGGTGTGTGGAACTTTCAGAGACGCTTCTTAAAGAGACTTAACCCAGCTGGGAGGAGCACACTCTTGCCTTTCCTATCTTCCTCTTTCATCTGGAATGTGGAAATCATGATGTGATTATTTTACATGACACGCCTGTATCAAAACACCTCAGGTACCCCCAAAATATTATACCTACTATGTACCCACAACAATTAAAATTAATAAAAAATTTCTAAAAAAATCAAGAGTCAACTCCCAGTGGACACCTTGAAGCCAAAATACAGACAGTGCCTGGGTCCTTCAGGTCATATTGGTGCACTTCCATGCCTCTTGGGGACTGCCTTCTTAAAAAATTCTTTTATGTGTCATAATTGTTTCTGTTTTCCACTATGGAAGTCTACTGGACAATATCTCACTGATATAGTGCTGTATGTTCCAATTCACATGAGTAATTACAATGTATTCTAAATCTTATGTCAATGTCTCTTTACTGAGTGTAGAGAAACCCCTGATGCATGATAAAGTAGTTTTTTTCTTAATATAAAAAATGAATGCCTCTGGAATGATAAACATCAGAACTTTCCAAAGTGACAATTACTAACCTTGTGTAAAATATTATTTTAAAGATAATTTAAATCTAAAATGACATGCAAAATGTGAATATGTTCTGTTCTCTGTTCTTTCCTCTCCACAAGGAGAGGAAAAGGTAGATACCCACTTTGGACAGCACTGTATGTAAGTGACTTGAAGTATGTAGTCCAACCAGGCTACTGGTTTATATCCCAGATGTGTCATTTTAACTGCAGCAAGTTACTTAAACTTTCAATGGTTTTCAATTTCGCATATATAAAACAGGAATAGCAGTATCAACCTTATCGAATTCTGGGATCATAAAATGGGTTAATTGATATAACATACTTAGGCAGTATAAACATTGTTTTACATTTAGCTATTTTTTTGTTTTTTGCCACCAACTGGATTTGGGTAGAAATCCATACTCTACTACTGCCATCTATGTGACGCAGGAAAAGTCAGTTCACTTCTCTGAGGTCTCAACCTTTTCTGATCTGGAAGATGAAGAGAAAACTATCGACCTATTAGTGCCACGGTGAAGTTAATCAAGATGCATATAAAGCCACTAGGTCAGTGCCTGGCTCATAGTAAACACCTAACAAATTGTCACTCTAACTTTTTATTTTTCCTTTTAGTTACTATCAGTCTTTTTTCCTCCCTTTAAACAGGCAATTTTATTGTCAGAATGAAGTAAAATTCCTCCAATGGGCAGATGTACTCATTCAACACTCACATATATGTACAAACATGGGTAAAAGCACTGAAATATATAGCCACATGCACGCATGTCCCCAGGAAACACAGTGCTTGCAATCACACTGTGTGAAAATTTTATACCAGTTATATTAAAAGAAAGTCATATGACATAAATACATAATTTCATGCACTTAAACCTGTTTTTCTTTCAAAACTACCTAGATAAAAGTTAAACACATAATATTACTGAAAAGGGATCCCATATTCCTCATCTCCATTCTTTAACTGTGCACAATAATCTCTGTCTCTTTAGAGCAACATTCTTTTTTAAAGTAAGAAGAGAAAACCTGAACATGACATGGGGATTAAGCAATAAAACAGCTGCCTAATTACCTTCAGGGACTTGCAGATCATTCTAGAATGTCATTCTGCCCGAGAAGCTCTCCTTCTAGTAACATTTATGCTTCTTATGAACGCTGTTTTTAGGTCAGAATGCTTGTCAAATTACAGAAAATTTGATCTTAGTTCCTACTCAAAAATTAAAAGATCAGAAAACAGAATCTCTCAGGTCTCTATTAGTTACAATATTCTACGATTTTATGATTCCTTAGAGATTCGTTTTCCTAGAAATGGTTGGGAGAGAGGATGCAAGAACAGAGAGTACACAAGAGAACACTGGTAAACTTTAAAATGGAGCAAGAGCCAAGTTCACAGTCCAATGACACATTGAGAAAAATCTTGTAATACATTGTGTCCCTTTATTGCTACTGCCTCTTTAGTAATAAACGGGAAGCTACAACTCAATACGAGAATGTGTTCGAGGTCACATTTTGAACCTCAAAGAGACTAATGAAACCTTTGCGGAAGCTCTGAAAGCTGTGGGGAAGTCATAAAAAGGATACCGTCTGCACTTTGTAGATTCATTCTTGGTGTGAACAGCAGCAGGTGTGGGCATGGAGGCAGGATGGGAGAAAAGAACAATGTGGGGGCTTCTGCTGCAGAGGGTCTTCTCACAGGTTTCTGTTGCTCAGAGAGTCCCAGTTATATTTTCCTACCACGAAACTACATTTATCAGCCAAAATCAGACTGTAACAAATCCATTTCTCACTTTTTGTAAATTACACAAATGGAATTTTGACTTTTAGGGATGTTATTCTGTTAAAGTTTTAAACATATTACAGGGAAAGGTCTAAATAAACCAAGGTCCACTAGATGTCTAAATCTAGGTTTTCGTCTCTGACTTTTTCATAGCAGGTTTATATTTTTGACTTTTCATTTTCTTTAATGCCTTGCAGCTCTCAGTACCACATGTCATCGGCCAATATATCAAACTTGTAAGTGAAGCTGGGAGAAAATGAGACATAAATGAAGAATCACGAAACCATACATGTTTCTTTGAAAACAGTTCAAGTTTTCTACAAGTGACAGTTGGAACACATTTTGTTCACTGAGAATGAGAAGGGAATGAACGTTTGACAGAGAGTGGGTTACCCATTCAATGGTTTTCTTTCTAGAGTTCAACAGTATTAAAGACAATAACTGTTCCTCTCCCACTGTACACAGTGCCGGACACAGAATAAATGCTCAATATATATTTTTATCTGTTGTTAATAAAGGAGCGAAGATATGCTTAGGCTTTATGTGCAAATGTACACAATGGAGAGCAAAAGCGATGTGTACACATTTGAATGGATGAATTTAACATACCTGAGTCATTTTATTAGTACAAAAAAATGTCTTGCAGGCATGTAAGAAATAATGATCAAGTTCCAATATCCAGTTTTGTTCTGAAAGGAGATGTACTATATTCCAGTTCCTTTTTGTGATCGTTGGGGAAAAAAGGAAATAATACAGTGGGAGAGGAACAGTTATTGTCTTTAATACTGTTGAACTCTAGAAAGAAAACCATTGAATGGGTAACCCACTCTCTGTCAAACGTTCGTTCCCTTCTCATTCTCAGTAAACAAAATGTGTTCCAACTGTCACTTGTAGAATATGTAGAAATATGTTATTTGAGAATAAAATAACAAATATAAAGTTAAAGTAGACCTCAAAATATAGAAATAAGTAACACGAACTTCATTTTTTCCCTTTCACCTGAATCCTTCTTTTAATTTTAAAGATTGCTGAGCAATAGAAAGTCAGGGAGGGAGAAGGCAAGAAGGTATAAAGAAACTAACTTTAAAATTGGGTTAAAAAAGAACTATAGCTGCAAATTAAGGAAACCACTGTTTTAAACATATCAAACTAGAAATAGCTGCCGTTATAGGATACAGATTAGTTAATGAAAGTGTTTATTATTGTAGAACAGAAGGTCAGAGAGAGAGACACAGCACAGGGCAATTCTGAAACAAGTTATAAATGAACAAGCCATGAGAAGTGAGGGAAAAGGCTGAATTTAGGTGCTTATATTCCTCTTATTTTCTGTAAAAACACCATGGAAACACCACCTCTAACTTGTGTGTGTCTCCGATCAAGGGCTAATGTGTGCTGTCATTAGTCAGCAGGTTGTTATTGAACAACGTTGTGGAAAGAAGAAAAAATGCAGGTGAACACTTCATTCAGGCCGTCATGTATCTAACCTCTGAGTTTCCAAAGTAATGATCAAAAATAAATTTTAAAATGTTCCCTTCATGAAGGAGAATAGGCTCTGTAAGTCCATATGATAGCTGGAGAAAGTGAGTTGAAGGTGAGATTTCAGGGAAAACTGACATTTAGAAGTGGGTTTCCAAAAAAAACAAATAAAAGTTGAAAAAGATTAAATAGAACTCCAAAGACCTCAACAATAATATAGGATTTTCCAATAACAGAGATTAAAAGGATAATGGCAACATTTGTCCAACAATATATTTATCTGATATCTTCATTATTATTATTTTTATAAATATTTCCAGTTGAATATTGATTTGGATAATGAAGAATATCTTGAAACACTAATGAACCACAGTTACCGGGCTTTTCTGAAGACTCAGCTGCTTTGTGAATTTTACTAGTTTATTCTCATGTTTGGGATTGTATCTTAAGCAATTCTTAAAGTTGAGGAGGTACAGAGAGGTTCAGGTGAGCACCTGGGTGGG